TTTTTTTTAGTTTCTTCTTAATTAATTAAACATTAAAATAGAAAGTTCAATTTGTTTCTCAATCGCTAAATTGTTTTCCAAAATAGCGGTTTCATCCCAAAAGCCAATACAAGCAACTATTTTACCAAAAATTACATTTACCTAGGTTGTGTTTGGTAAATAACTTTTTCTTTAGCTTTTGGCGGTTTCAACCAATTTTAGTTGTTTGACCGTAGCAAACAGCTGAATATAATGTTTGGTAAAATGACATTTTCAAATAGCTCGTTTGATCAAAACGCTAAAACGTTGTAATTCGCAGCGTTTTGCAATAATTTTTGAGAAAATAAATAACTTATATGCTTCTACGGATCTACTTGATAGGTGAAAATTGAAAAGAAACAAAAAAGAAATAAAAGAATGAATGGCTCAGGTCTCACTCAATGTGAGTATTAAGTACACTCCTATGTACAATATTATGTACTTTTAGCATTACTCTTAAGCTAAAACATTTACCTGGATTGACAATCATTTTAGTTGTTTCTTGTGCTACATAACAAAAAAATAAATAAAAATGTCACATACAGTAATTATAATCCTAAATCTTATCTGATGTTAATTTGTTATTTGTGTTATTGTAGTATTATTTATTTGATATTTATTAAATGCATGAATGATTTTTATTTTTTAAAATAATTATACCCGAAACATATAAAAAAAAAAAAGTTATATGAATGTCATAATAAATAATTTTATCTGCTAACAACTAAATATCAAACCACTAATTAACCAAACAATTTGTAACACAACCTCTAATTTAAATTCTTTGGTCAAAGCAGCTAATAATATCCATTGGTCAAAACAGCTAATACAATATTCGCTAACCGCTAACGCTAACAGCTGATTGCAAAACAAGTCCTAATTTAAATACAAGGAGTTTATAAGTTAATCAAATAAGCAATACGCTAGTTTATTTGTCTACCAAACATAGCCTCGATAAAATGGTTTTGAAGATGATATGAAGAGTAATCTTGGGTTGCTAGTTGTAAAATATCACCCATGACAGTTTACCAAGTACAACAATTGTGTAGAGTTTTGTTGATTTACTAGTGCGGCTAAGAAGTCTTTCTTTTCCTTTACTAATGGAGATGAATCAAGTCACTCATGCTTGGTTTGTTGTGGTAATTATGGTGTTGCTTAGTCATGGGCAATTCTTTATTGGTTGTTGATATCTGATGTGCAAGAGAACTAAAACATATCTACTTGAGCTTCTCAGGGTTGTTTACTAATGTCTTGATAATATGGGACCACTTGAACGGTCTCGGGTCGACGATCCTGTACTCGGCTATCGAGTTACCGAAAATCCATGAAACATATACTACGATCGACATACCAGTATGTTTTTTGACAAATGTGATTGTGTTATGTGTATTTGTTTACAGAACTTTTCCGTATATCAATCATCTTGTTTTAATTCTAGTGTCTTCATAAAGTTGTAGAGGTTTTGTTGGTGATTAGTAGGAACCAAAATTACCTTAGTACCTATTTTCTATCACAAATTATGTTCAAATTACAAACATCGTGCTAGCAGTTTTCTGTCAGGTTTAGCATTTGGGATTGAAGAATTTCCAAAAGTCAGTGAACTGTTTCTCTTCTATTTTGACATAATGAAGAAGTTTAATGAAGAGAAGGGATGGTTTCTCTTCTTCTATCTTTTCAAGAATGAATTCCAAAGGACCCATTTTAGTTTTATCACGATTTTTGGAGACTCCGCTCATTATTAATTTTGACCTCAATTACTTTGTTAATTATGTCACTTAAGTTTAATATTATTATTTGTTACGTCAGTAAATAATAATATTACTCGGTGTCCACATTTAATTATTCTACAAGTTAAATTAAGTTTCTTAGGCAATGTCTATACAATAATTTGATCACCTAATTTGAGTAAACAACATAATGACTCAATTTATCAATTACACATATTTAATCTCAAAATAGATCTAACAATCTTCCACGAGACTTAATTGTCCATAATATATTATGTCTTATGAGCTCAAAATATGGTCATTATTACTTTATTATAGAATTTGAACAATCAGGTCCATTAATCACAAGATTATAGTACTAAAGTCGTTTTAACTATATAGACACAGCTAAAACTATCAATAATCACATATGTCACCATGATTAAATTACGTAGATCAAATTGTGGAACATGTGGCATGAAAATTACATGAATGTGATCTTCACATGTCAATTCTGAACTAGGCCAAGCTTAATGAAATCGTAAAGTACTAAAACATAATGCACAAAGTTTCATGAACCAAAACTTTATTTTTTTAATCAAAATAAGTATTTTATATATCATTGAATAATAAGGACAATAATGTAGCATATATTGTGAACAAGTGGAATGTACCACTATTCATAATAGTGATGTGAATTAAATTTGTATGGAGGAATGAATAAATAGGTATGGGGAGATGAATGATTTGTGTAGAAAGTGTCGGTAGAATTTGCCTATAAAAGGCACCCCAAATGTATTGCATGGACACACTTTTGAGAAGAAAGAAGAAAGAAGAAATTCAGTATAATTTATATCCGGTTTCTATTTTGTGTTCTTTATCTTTTCCCATTTTTATAACACGTTATCAGCACGAGCGCTCTACCCGGTCAAGAAAGTTATCATGGCAAATCTGGTCAAACTCGAATTTGAGGCTCTTGACATTTCCGGAAAAAATTATATTTCATGGACACTAGATGCCGAAATTCATATGGCCGCGAGGGGATTGGGAGAAACAATAATCTCCCCAAATAATTCATCAATACAAGATAAAGCTAAAGCAATGATATTTCTGCGGCACCATTTGAATGAGGGATTGAAAAATGAATACTTAACTATGAAAGATCCCGCGGATCTTTGGAAAGCTTTGAAAGAAAGATACGATCATCAGAAAACAGTAATTCTCCCCCGGGCTCGTTATGAATGGATGCACTTACGCTTCCAAGATTTTAAAACTGTAAACGAGTTCAATTCGGCCATGTTCCGCATTTGCGCGGTATTGAAATTATGCGGGGAAAACATAACTGATTATGATATGCTTGAAAAAACGTTGTCCACATTCCACGCTTCAAACGTACTTTTGCAGCAACAATACAGAG